CAAGACAAAGTAATGATAATAAGAGTAAATTGTAATTATGTGTACATGTACATGTATGAATGAATTAGTGTTTTAGTTAACAATAACTAAAACTAAAACCTATTTTAATTTTAGTAAGCTGTTTTTTTTAACTAAAACTAAAACTAAAATTCAAATTCCTCAGTGCTTATAATTAAAACTAAAACTAGTACTAATTAACTATAACTAAAACTAAAACTTTAATTGTGAGATACATTAACTAAAACTAAAACTATAATAGCACACTTGTAACTACTTAAATTATTGAAGAGGTCTGATCACTAACACCTCCATTGTAATGTTGGTCAGGTCATTTGGTCCATTTACTAGTTCTTAATTAATTGTTTTTACATTATTGGAAAAATTTTCGTGAATTAAACTATAACTAAAACTAAAACTAGAAGCACTTGAAGAATAAAACTAAAACTAAGACTAAAATACAATTTTGAAGTGATAACAATAACTAAAACTAAAATGATTACCATTGCATAACTAAAACTAAAACTAAAATTATTGTACCATACTAAAACAAAAAATGAATGTCAATGCACCATCTTCAATTCTTGCTCTTAGTTAACGAGCGTAAATACATTTCGTGATATCTGTTTAATTTTTTTTTCTGGAGTTTCTGTGAAATAAATCAGATTCTACATAATTTACATTTTAAAATTCTTTACCTTCAACATTTACCTAAAGCAAAACTACATACAAGTCAGCATATCAGATAATGGCATACTTTTTCTTTAAGTGATGCAAAAAATTGCAGAGGAATGGAACAAATGATAGTAAAGGAAGCATGGTCTTTGATACATTCAAATTCTTTAATCATGACATGAGGGGCTAATTCCTTGCATAATACTGTATTTAGCAGGACCTGTGCATCATCTAAAGTGCAGTTGTCAACATCTCTAGCAACAACAAATGAGATTTTGTCACATTGAAATAGTGTGTCAGAATACAGTTCTACATTTAAAAACATTCGAAGCGACTTAAACTTATGCATATGTTTTTTGTATTCTTTAATGATGGTAATGGCTTTTTCGACTGTGAAATTAATGGCAACATCTTCCAGTAGGCTGACATTTATAATCGAACACCTCTTGCGGACTACAGCTAGAATGTTATAAGTGGCATCAATATGTTCCAATTGATGAATGAAATAAGGATAGTCACGATAAAGAAACTCTTTGAGGTCATCTGAAGGAATTTCATTCATAGCATCACAGGCAGTAGTGACAGCCTGATCATATGTGTGCCTCAATGCATCTAAATCAGGAACTTTTAGACCTAAATTATATCAAGAGTGATTATATGTAAACACAATACAAAAATATTTACTTTCGCTGTCTATAGATCTATGAGGAATTATTTTCGCTATAAAAGTATATTTTTGTAATGAATTACTGATTGTTGCATGATCTGACATTTTCTGACATATTTCATTATTCATAAGATCTTTGAAATTCTTACAAGAATCATAGCTAGTCATGTTAGATCTCAGAAGATCTGACAGCTTGTTCAAATCTTATGACTGAAATCTTAATACTAGAATTTGTAAGAATTTCTGTGACAAGATGATACAAGATTACTTACTATCTTGTATTGTCATGTAAAATCATGAAACATTTTATAAGATCTTTCTGGGATTTTTTATAAGGGA